GCCATGCCAGCTTTTGCGAGTGTGTGTGAGTCGAAACCCTAAGACCCTGAACTCTGAAGCCTATAAGCCCTCAATCCTGCTTGAAACGTTCTACCTCCAAAAGGGGCTTTAAGCCCTCCAAGCAGGAGCTCTTCGAGAGGAGGTTGCCAGCGACTTGGGCCGTGAGCTGCTTTCCTCGCTTCGGCGCGCGGCCGAAGTGGCGGCTGGGGTGCTGGGAACGACGGCGCGGGAGGCTTCGGGCGCTCTCCCGGGTCTTCCTGAACAGTTTGGGGCTTAGAAGTTTGGGGGTCAATTCAATTGCTTGGGGCTTTCGGATATTCGTTATTAGCGTGTTTGATAAGCAATATTGGGCTCTCACTTGAGACTGTCGGTGATGTACTTTGTAACCTTTTTTGGGTTTTGCGCAATTTGAAAGAAGAATCTTACAAAATGAGAGACATAGTCACCCAGGGCCTGCCGTAAGCAAGACGTAGCTGCAGTTCAGAGCTTCGAGCAAAATGAGCCGCATAATTAGCCAATGTCGTAGGGCCGCAACAATTCTCACGTCAAGAATTAAGGACGTAATCAGTGGTCACATCCCCTTCACGTCCGCATGGAATCATCGTAGAATATACACCCCACAACCGTATTCTAAACATGGAAAATCCCCTTACACCGTAATTACAGCCAGAGTGTGTTCAGCTAGCACGACAGGTGCTCATTGACTACTCTGACCACCGGGTGATAGATGAAGTGCTGGTCCGAGGTCATCGCTTTCGTCACGGTATTAGGGTTTGAGATTTGTGTGGGGTTGTTGGGGTTCTATAAGGGGTTTAGGGTTTAGGGTCTGGGATTTATGCATTTGGAGTTTAGGGCTGAAAGGTTTGGGAGTTTGGCGTTTGAGCTTTAGTAGCTTCTAGGAATTAGAATGTAGGGCTTGGTGCTTTAGGGCTTTGCGGCGCAGGGTGTGTAAGATTGTGCGAGTTTGGCCAGATTCAATTGTGCTCTGCAGAGCTATGGGGGTGGTGGGTACGTGTCTCGTGGCTTGTCGATTTGAAACCTACGTGCGAAGACCTCTGTACGGTTGAGAGATCACAAGCCCCTTGGCCCAAAGTCTTATCCTGCTACGACTTTGCCCTTGGCCCAAGTCCAAGTCTTGAAGAGCTGCTCGTTTGAACTGGGGTTCGGGGCCTTCGCAGGATAAATTAAACCCTAAGCCCTAAGCCGTTTATTGCTAGCGCAGCTTGACGGCCGAGATGGTTTGCAAGTCAAGGGCCAGCACTTTCAGAGCTCTGGCCCCAAAGAAGGCCCTGACACGGCCTTACGAGCTGATTCCTGATGCAGTTCCTGAACTTCAGAGTCTGGAGCTGAATCCCCAAACCCACACAACCCATGAGTCAAGCTTATTTTGTTTTGGGGTTTTGGGGTTCACTGAAATCCGACACCCTGGACTCCCTTCCCAGCAGACCTATGGACATATGCCTCGCGTGGAGAACCCGAGTGTGAGCACGGCCTTTTTTTGCTCTACGGGGTGTCAGAGCCAAGCTAATATGACAAGTGTGATGCAGAAGCCATCCTGAATTGAGTTTGCTCGTGCGGCTCTCCTCTGCATCACCCCAAGATCCTGGTCGTAGCCCATTATTCGACATCGGGGGTTTTCTGGCTTTGTGGCTTTCAGACCCCAAGCCATGAAGAGGCTACGGACTTCCCCGACGCATTGCCCGGCGGGTGCTGCCGCACCTCTGGAAGAACGGGCCGATGTACCTTTACATGGCAGTGCTCTCGAGGACCCAAGGTTTAGGGTTGGAACGTTTAAATAAGCGCTTAGGGCGTAGAGTTGTTGTTTTCTGAATCCCAGCCCAGTTGCAAAAAAGACTAGAGGCTTGAACTTTAGGAGAGTTTGTTCTTTAAGTAAGCCTTGCCCTCTAAACTTTAGGAGAGTGACGCGTTGGGCTGGGTATGACATGGGTAGTTCTCTAAATGAGGGTCCCTTTTTAGGTTTTCAATATAGTATGGCGCCCTTATAATTAAGAAGGACCAAAAGGGACCCTGCTTTGGAGAACTACCGATATCTTAAGTTCCGAGTTTGTTTGGAGCTTGAGAACTGAAGCCCAAACCCGGAACTCTGGAATCCTGGGCTTTAGGGTTTAGGGTTTAGGAGGCACTTCAGAGAGACCTCATCCAAGAAGGGTTTAGGGTTAGGGGGAAGAGGAGACCTAGTAAGGGGGGGTTTAGAACTGTGGTTGTGAGTACCTTCGTTCAACTTCCTTGACTTGAGCTTTGCGCAACCCTCAGGCCTACCCTGAGTGGCACACCATCGTCGGATCCTTGCGATAGGGACACCTAGATGAGGGTTACTCCGAATTCTGAGAAACAACAGCGCTGGGTTCCTGAAGTCAGGGTTTAGTACAATATGCCTGAGGCCTCAGCACCACAGCCGTGCAGCACTAAGCAGAGCTCTGAAATCTAGCAACCAAGGATGAGATGTTCCCAAATTTTGCGAAGGGTTCCTGAATAAGGGATCCCTCATAAAGAGACCGGAACTCCAGCATTCTTTCCCACAAAACTTTCAACCGAATCATACGGGCTAATGCAAGGGTCCTGGGCTTGAGGGTTTAGGGTTCGAAACCCTGTAAGCCCCGCACCAAAGACAGCCTCGCTCTAAACCCCAGGCCCTGACCCCCAAAACCCAAACGCCAGAAGCAGCGAGTCCTTTCAGCGGGGAGGACGGACTACCTCCTGCATTTCGACTCGGATGTGGTCCTGGACCCACGGGCCAAAGATTTGTGAGTTTAGGGATTCGGAGTGTAAACGGCATCGGTTTAGAGGGTGCAGTAGATAGTGCGCATGGGCACTACATCGAGTTGCACCAACAACAGGGTTCTCGCGGTTCCATTCGGTTCGGTTAGGTTCGCGTAAACCGGTTGGAGCCGGTTGAGCGGTTCATGCGGTTCGGTTCGCCCGCGGTTCGGTTCGCGGTTCCTCGCGGTTCGCAGCCCCATAAGTACAAACCTTTGTAATTCTTTCAAACCTTGTTATTAGGGACCAGCACTGGTCCCGAGGAGAACCTGCTAAAGTCCCCATGGCTGTGGAGAGGCGAGCAGGCGTATCGCTTTGCGCCATCGAGGTCGAGAGGTTTAAGCGCCGCCCACCCACGGAGATGGGCGGCAAACTCCTACTTGCCATCATTTGCTAGGGGCCTCTAAAT